GAGAGAGAGAGAGAGAGAGAGAGAGAGTATGATCTAATTCATAATTGCAGATATTACAGTATCATATACATTGAAATACATGCAGGATCTTCTCACATGCAAGCGCCAGTATTCCGTTGACTTATCTAATCGCCGTATCTGGACTGAAAGGTGCCCCGAATACAGACAGCTATAATGACTCGCCGCGGGGAGACTAGATAGGACAGCGAGAGACAGAGAGAGCGCGAGAGTGAGAACGAGCGCACGGGGCGCGCGCGCACGAGAGAGAGAGAGAAGGGGGGTGCGAGGGGGAGGGGGGAGGAAGGTAGAAAGGTGGGCGAGAGAGAGAGGAGAAAAAAGGCCAGGCCGCCCGACCTGTCAACGTCCAATTGAAAGGAATCTTTGGCGCCTTCCATTGACAAGTAAACTGGCTCTAGGGACTCTGTGGAAATTTAAAATATAATAATAAAATCGTGCTAATAACTAGGGCAATCAAATCCGGCGGGGGAATTGAGCGGCCTAGCTCAGTTGGAAAGGCTCGCAAGTGGCATTCAGGAGGTCGTGGGTTCAATCCCCATTGACCTCATGTACCTTCCTGGGAATGCTTGGCGCCCATCACCTAGAGATAGACCACTGGGTCCCCCGATCGGCATTGAGCAGAGTCTGCTGAAGTTGGTAGGGAAGGGGACCACCACCTGAGGGGAGGCACAGGGATTGGTCCTGTTGGCATGCGGCCTGATGCTACCGGCTGTCCCGTGGCCGGTATCGCCCACCTGCAGGTCGGGAGCAGCCCCCGCCGTGTTCTCTCGTGAACACGGTTCTGACTGCTACGGGGTTCCCTGTATGACTATAATTAGTAGTAGTAGTGGTATGAGTATATACTATAATTAGTAGTGTGAGAAGAAATTGAGAGAAAAATGTTAGCTTAAAAAAGGGAAAACGAATCCAGCGGGGGTTGAGGGGATAAACGGGTGGGTGAAGTGGGATCGGAGAGGGGAAGGGGGTGTTGTTTGTGGAAAGTTTATCGGCTGATTAGAGTCGTTTTCGAAAGGGGGGAGGAAGGGGTTACTGGGGGGAGGGCGATGCGTCCGCAATAATCGGGACGGAGGAAAATCAGCGGAGTGCGTCTGCGCGCCTGCACAGAGGTTTTGTGTATGCTGGCGCCAAAAGATGTCCGGATTCAATAATTGAGCCAAGCATGTGCGCGCGAGAGAGAGCGTGAGAGAGAGAGAGAGGCGTGTGTGATGGAGGAGTGCGCGCGCGCGCGCGCGAGAGAGAGAGAGAGAGAGAGAGAGGCGTGCGTGATCGTGAGGTTAGGCGTGAGAGAGAGAGAGAGAGAGAGAGAGAGAGAGAGAGAGAGAGAGACTGTGTGTGATAGGGAGAGAGTCATTTACCTCTGATGCGCTCCGCGTTAGTCTGTCAATCACCATCCACAATCGTCCTAACTAGTAGGTGGAAGAGAGAGAGAGAGAGAGAGAGAGAGAGAGAGAGAGAGAGAGCGGAAGCGTGCAGTCGCGTGTCCTGCGCTGAAATCAAGCAGGCGCAGCACTCTGGCGCAACCCACAGGGATCTTCGTTTCTAAATCTGGCCCTGCATGCGTGCAGATTTAGAACGCATGCTCCACAGCTGTGCGACCTCCGCCTGGCCCGGCTGGCCACGAGGCTCTAGGCTTGGGCCTCGTCACTTCTATTTCTTTCCGTTTCCAATATGCCCCTGAAAGTTCGATATATTAGCGGCATGCCCCTCCAACGGCCGACTTACCCCTGCAGGCCCCTATCAGTGAGGGGTGCAACTTTCCAGCATGCCCCTGTGGCTGTTGGTGGCACTCGTGGCGGTTTAACTGGACCTGGGAGGGGAGCTAACGGGGCATACTCATTTTTGTGAAAATTTCACCGGCCTGGCATATTGAACGTATTTCAGGCCCAAACGATGCCAAGGGTTCTTTGGAAACTTCAATCGTTGCCAGAGGGGTGCTACAGGGTAAGTTGGCCAGCAGAGGGGCAGGCTGCAAATAAATCGAACGTTCAGGGGCATATAAAAAAAAAACTCCTTCTTTAATTTGGACCGTTTCTCTTTTCTGGAATAATTTCTAGAATACCCCAATAACTTGAGATATGTTGCAAAATGCCCCTAAAAGATGTGCATAGAGTGGAATGCCCCTCTAACATAAAAATATTTTGTGAAATGCCCATGGCATGGTTGGACCCTCATCTTTGCAATATTCCCCTACCGGGTACCATCCACCTTTGCAAAATGCCCGGATACTTGCCAATTTGTCCAAGCCCTACTCTCAGTCTTCGTCTGTCTCCCTCTCCGCGCGCCCGCGCGCGCGCGAGAGAGAGAGAGAGATGGAGAAAGGGGGGGGGGAGGAGAGTGAGAACGAGAGCGAGACAGAGCGAGAGAGAGGGTGTGTATTTGTGTGTATGTGCGTGTGTGTGTGTGAATATGTGTGTCTGTGTGTGTGTGTGTGCCTATGTGTGTGCCTATGTGTGTGCATATGTGTGTGTGCGTACATGTGTGTGTGTGTGTGTATGTGCGCGCTTGTGTGTGTGTGTGTGTGTGTGTGTGTGTGTGTGTGTGTGTGTGTGTGTGTGTGTGTGTGTGTGTGT